TCCCGGGTTGGGGGCCCCCCCGGGGACAGGGCCCCGCTCCTCGAGCGGGCGCTGCCGCCGGCCGGTCCCACTCGGGTGCACCCACGTGTCCCCTGCTCCTTCCCGTCACCGCCGCGGCCGCTCGCTGGGTGGGTTTGTGTTGACTTTTGTGAGAGAGCGCCCGAGTCTTGTGTGAGTTTTAAGCAAAATGTTTGTTTTTTCCGTAGATGGGTTAGCGTTGTGCAGAACAGCTTAACTCATTAGCATTTCTTAGAAGTCTGCCTTACTGTTGCTATGGCGCTTTGCATAATATTATGCATAATATGCTGATTTTACTTTGAAATCAGACATACTGTACAAGTCACTAACCTAATTATATCTGTAACCTTAACCCTGCTGTGCGAAGCATGATAGGGCCGCGGTGTTTGCGGGGGCTCCCCGTGCCCCACGCGCTGCTGGGCGCCGTCGCCCTCCAAAGGGCTCTGTGTGCAGTGGGGACCTACAGGAAATGTCTCCTTGGCGTGTTTCTTAGTCTGGGTGCAGCAATGAAAAACTCCCTCAATCAAGGTGAATGCAATGTTAAAACTAACAAAGTGCTGGGTCCCCCGCACTCCACGTACACCCGCTGCAGGCCGTGTCCACAGCCGGGTGCAGGGTGCCCCTTCCTCACGGCTCTCCTGGTGTCCTGAGGAGCAGAGCACACGGATCCCGTTAGCTGGTGACCCCGCAGGCTGCCTCGTGTCCCCCTTGGCTCCGCTCTCCTCTCCTTCCAGGCTGTTGCAGGAGGGAGAGGTTGGGGTTACGGAGGTGGGGTAGCACTTTAAGTGCAAAGTGAAGGCGGGGGAATCCTTCTGACCGCGCGGGGCCAGGAGCTTCCCATTTCAGTCCATCACAGCTGTCTCTGACCTGCTTTTCCCATCAGGATTAAATGCGAACCTGGTTCTAAAAACCAGCCCCTCTGTATTTTGTAGGTGTGAAGGTTGCAAGTGCAGAACTGGGCCCCTGGGCGCTACTGCAGTTAAGGAGATGAGGGAAGCCCAGGGAAGGCTGGTGTGGGCAGCGATCTGCTGCTCCATGCGGGAAGTCTGGGATCAGCGTCGGGGCCTTCTTGTCCCTTCGGGTTTGGTGGGCATTAGGGCTAAGTCCAGGTTACTGAGCTGGGAAATGTTCCCATCCCTGGCATTGCTGGTGCGAATTGCGTGGTGCCCTGACACAGTAACGCTCAACATCTGGTTAAAAACTGGTCTGATGTTCAAATCCACTCTGCATGGCTGCAGGAAACTGTTTCTATCCTCCCTGGCAGGGAAGGAAGGCTCTTGTGAAAGCAGCGTTTGCTGCTTTATGATCTTCAGGTATTTTTATTAACATTTCAAAAGTCAGATTAGAACAGCCTAGTTCAGGTAGTGATGCTCAAGTAGAAAGTGATCGTAGTGGTGCTGGTGGTGCTGGTGATAGTGATGGTGCTGGTGCTGATGGTGGTGCTGCTGGTGCTGATGGTGCTGCTGGTGCTGCTGGTTCTGGTGCTGCTAGTCGTGCTGGTGCTGCTGCTGGTCTTGCTGCTGGTGCTGCTGGTGATAGTGATGGTGCTGGTGGTGCTGG